GCACGCCTGGGGGGGCGCCCCCTCCTTCCCCCCCCACTTGGAACAGGGGCGGCCCCGCCGGCTGGCCTGCCCTGCGAGGCTGTCGTGCAAGGGGGGGGGACGGCGGCGCGGTTGGCCAGCCCCTGCCCTGGAGGGACGCCTCCTGCTCTGGGGGCTTTGTGGTCTTAGACAAGCCCCACTGAAGGCCGGGGGGGGGCACAGACCGCCCCCATTGGCTTAAACTGTTGGTTTAAACTGCAGACTGAAGCACCTCTAATCCTCCACCTTTTCCTTTTGTGTCGCTGCGGAGAGCAGCGCCTTTGGGCAGATCCGGGGGTGCGAAGACCCTTCCTCTCCCCCCCCCCCCCTTGGCATGGAGATCCTTATTATCTTGTTCTTTTCGAGACCGCAAGAGCCTGTGGATGGGGGGAAGAAGAAGGAGAAAAGGGGGGGCGGCGGCGGGAACTCCTCTGGAGAACTTGAAGCTGCTCTACCCAGGGAAATCCCGGCCCTCCTGCTGGTTGAATCGAACCCCCGGAAATTCAAATCCCTGCAACATGTTCTGGGTCTGGGGAAAAGAGGTGTCGGGAGGGGGAAAGGCCTGCTTTGCAAACAAAGCGGGGAGCTGAGAGGGATTCTGCGGGCGCCTGGCCTGACGGGGTTCCTGTCTTTCTCCTCCCCCTTTTTTCTTCCCCCAGGAGAGGACGCCAGCCCCGGTGCCCCCCCTGCGGCCTCTGCCACCACCGCCTCTTTGGGCAGCTGCCACCCCCCCCCTCGGCGCCCGCTGGGGGCTCCCCTCACCCACATCGGAGGCACGGCTGAGGAGAAGGAAGCACCGCCAATGGCGACATCACCCAGGTCCTCCCTGAGTGGTAAATGTGGAGGGAATGGGGATGGGGGACAATGGGACACTGAGTTGCTGTTCTGTGGGTGCTTGGGGAAAGGTGGCGGTGGTGGAATCTCGCTTCCCGCAGAGCAACGCATGAGGAATGATAATAATAATAATAAATAAGAATAACTCTGTATTGTCAAGTCAATTCTGATTTACGGTGACCCAAGAATAACTGTATTGTCAAGTCAATTCTGATTTACAGTGACCCTTTTCAGAGTTTTCCAGGTAGGGAATCGCCCCCACCCCAAAAGGGTTTTCCCTTCCCATCTTCTGGGACGGGCCAACCAGGCTGGCTTTTCTCCCAGGAACGACCAGCCGTGTGGGATTCGAAGTTCCAACCTGAGCTATCCAGCAAATTTTGCAAAATTCAGTCTTTGCAGCCCCATCTCTTCCCTTTCCAGCTGGCCCGTGAGGAGCCCTTATGCACAAAGAAGGATTCCAGGGGATCGTTATGGGATGCACGCCAATCCTCGCCCATCGGCCTTCTTGGTACCTTTTGAGATGGGTCGGCCTCCTGGCTCAGGAGGATGGGAGTTGTGGTCTAAATTCAGCAGGGCAACCCCTTGAGTGAAGGCTGCTCTGAGGGAGGTGAGGGGGTCTTGACTGTTCCCTCCAAAGGAGGGGGAAGCGTTTCCGTTTCAGCATCATCTCCCATTATCTTAACGAGAGTTTAGGCAGGTGAGGCAAACGATGTGCATAATCTCTAGGACTTCCTCTCTTGATTTGACCACCAGGGAGGTTTTTGAACCCTTGCTTTCTCTTTCCTCCTCTCGCCTCAGGTTCTAATAATTCTGGGCTTTTGAACACCCAGCCCCAGCCCAAGTTGAGTGCGGGTGGCGGAAATCGAAACCAGGCCCTGCGGATCCTGAAGCGCAGGCCTGCCCCAGGTAAGCTCTGCTCTCCCCAGTCTCTCTCCCTTTAGTAAATAAATTTTAAGGGGGAGGGTGGGGAGCATGAGATTGACAGCTCCGGATTTTGTGACCATGTGGGAGTTTAATTTACTCATGTCTTTATACAATAGGACTTAACATATCTGCAGGATCGGTATCCGTGTTTCACTTATATGTGATCTGAAAATACTGAAAGAAAAATCCCAGAAATATTCATTTCTACGATGTGGTTAGCAAAACTGGTCACCAGAAAGCGCCAGAGACCATGCTATGGAGAGTGTTTGCTATTATCCACCATTTTGACCCACTTCTTCATTTTTGGGTGGTCCTGGGCATCCACAGAATACTCCTGTATTAGCAGCTTATCCCAGGATTGCTCGCAACTCATTTGGAAAAAACAACAACCGGGCTATTCCCAAAATGCTTGGAGGTGGGGAGTTATACATAATGCAGCTACTTTTATAAATCTCTGGAAATAACAAGAACAGAGTCAATTTACTGATGTAAAAAGAGTGATTTCCCCCCACCCTTCTCTACCTATTTCCAAACGGCTGTTTAAAGGGACCGCTAATGCAGTAGGACCCCCATATCCGCAGGGGAAATCGGTTCCAAGCCCCCGCGGATGCTGGGAAATGTGGATTATAGCAAACGCTCCCCATAGCATGGCCTGTGGCTCCCTCGAGTGGTCATTTCTGAGAACTTCATGGTAAGAAATACAGATTCAAATGTCTCTTTAAGCTAAGTGCCGACTGACTTCCTATGGTGTCTTGTGGCTTTAGGGAAGCGATACCAATGCTCGGGGGACGGGTGCCGGCTGGCCTGCCGCAGCATGAAAGAGCTCCTGGACCACATGCGGCTCCACTACCGACCCACCCAGTCTCTGGAGGGTAAGCCGGCCTCTTCCAGCCTGCCTCGCAGGGTGGGTGGCGGAGAACATTCCGGCAGGTCAGAGAAAAATGCAAGCTCAAATCAGATCCTGAGCACCCGCTTCCTTGTTTTGTGGGGTGGGACTCCCTGATCCCGATGATTCCTACCTCTCCTGAATCAAAATTCAGTTCCCCCCCCTCCAAATGGCTCTCACTTGCTAACAAAACAGGCACATTCTGCCGGTGCTTTCCTGGCTCAAGGGGCTGCCCAAAGAGCATGGGCTGTTTTGTGCCCTTGTCGAGCAGCGGGCACCCAAGAACAGCCCAGGGTCCAAACCCCATTACCGTATTTGCCGGCGTACAAGGTGACCGGCCGTATAAGACGACCCCCCCCCAACATGTGGCGCCGGCTGCCCAGGGCTCTGCCTGGGCCCGCCCTGGAAATTCAAGGCCAGTGGGGAGGAGGGCGAGGAAGAAGCTGGGCGGGTGGTGGCAGGAGGAGGAGGAGGAGGAGGAAGAGGGGAAGCTCAGCCTCTTACCCTCTTCCTCGCCCTCTCGCTGCCATGCCTGGCTCAGCGCCACGGGGCGGCGGGCAGCCCGGCGGTGGGCTCTGGCCGCTCAGACATGGCAGCGAGAGGGCGAGGAAGAGGGTAAGAGGCTGAGCGGGCGGCAGCAGGAGGAGGAGGAGGAGGAAGAAGAGGGAAAGCGGGCGGGTGGCAGGCGAGCGAGCGCGCTGGCTCAATAGCGAGAGGGTAGGGAAGAGGCTGAGCAGGCGGCGGCAGGAAGAGGAAGAGGGGAAACGGGTGGGTGGCGGGCGAGCCCGGCGGCAGGTTCTGGCCGCTCAGGCATGGCAGGCTGTGCTTCCCTCCCTCCATCCAAACTAACTGACTGCCCGCCTCCCTGGCCAGCGTGGCCCCGCGTCACTCACGCGGCAGGGGCGGCTCCTTCCTGACCCAAATGAAGGGCACCCGGCGTACAAGACAACCCCCCCCACTTGGAGGCATGTTTTTTGGGCCCAAAAAGTCGTCTTGTAGGCCAGCAAATAGGGTAGGTTGGTTTAAATGTGATGGGGGGGTATGGACAAGAGGAGTGGGTGGTGCAGAGAGCAGAGGAACCCGATCTGTGTCTTGTGAAATTTGCAAAAGTCACTAAATGTCCCTTTGCTTCCTCTAGGAAAGACCTTTCATTGCTCCACACTAGGCTGCGCAGAATCGTTCCCCAACATGCAAAGCCTGATGGGACACATGAAGGCCCATTACAAGCTCAACCGCTACTTCAAGTAAGAAGACCCCATTGTTTTTCTTTTCTTCTTAAAGCCATATTAAAGAAAAAACATGTACAGTTGCACCCCCTTATCCATGGGGGTCAGTATCCACTGATTCATTTATGTGCAGTCTGCAAATGTTAAAAAATATTGAAAGAAAAATCCTAGAATATGTATTTTTAAAGATGAAGTCGCCAGAAGTGGCCACTAGAGCGTTTGCTATAATCTACATTTTTCAGCATCCACGGTGGGGTACTTCCAACTAATCTCCCAGATTCAGGCTAAAGATCGGGGGGGGGATTCTTAACCGTTAAGGAGGATGACAACGGGAAATCCATGACCTCAAGGTTGGGGGAGAGGCGGTGACAGGGTAACCCTCGGAGTCTGTCTTCCCTCCTCCTCCCGCGGCCCCACCTCCCTCCATCTCTTCTTCTCCAGATGTGAGAACTGCACCTCGCGCTTCCGGACGCACCGCTCCCTCTTCAAGCACCTGCACAGCTGCTCCGACCCAGCCACGGCCACCCCGCCACCGCCGCCGGCCCTCGCGGCCGACAAACCCGTCTTCCTGCCTGCCTCCAGCTCGG